ATTGCCTGCGGCTGCCGTGTCGGAAACGCACCGCAGCGGATACGCATCCAGTGTAAATCAGGGGTAAATCAGGGGTGACAGTACACTTCTGCGCTGTCCTGTGACAGTGCCGGCGTAGTCACGAGACACTGCCTGTACGTGCGTGACACTGCCATGGAAAACGTAACAGTACAGTACACTTTGTGCTGTTACCCCTTCTCAAAAGGGGCTTTGTTTTCAAAATTGTGCCTAAGCAATCGAAAAAAAAAACTGTAATAGCTGAAAGGTAAGCCACATAGTTCTGTGTGTCCAACCATCTGCCCAGGTCCACGCAGCTCCGATAAGATAGCCCTTCTCATGTCAGCTTCTGAGTAACAGGTATCCGTCTTTTCAGTCCTAATTCTCTAAGGCGTGTTTTCAGGGTGCTTAAGGAAATGTTAATGTTATAGTACGCAGCAAGCAAATCGATAATAACCTTGTATGAATGCCCTCGATCAAAATACAGTAAGACCTCGGACATTCACGAGGTTACGTTCAAGAACTTTCATTTGAAAGTTAGCTTAATACATTACCTTTAAAAAACCAAATGTTTGAGTACAGTATCACCTAACGGGTATTTGTCACACTAGCACAGTTACAGTATACTAATGTTACCCCTACTAATTCCTAGAACACGGAATTTGCTGCCGTTTTCTTTTGCATTCACAGTAAGGTAAAATGAGTAAACGAACCCTTTCGGTGGATCCACCGGAAATACGTCACCTCCACAGGAAATACGTGATTTTAAGGGGCGTAAAGTGGAGCTCCACAGGAAACACGTGACATGGAATTATTTTTACATGCCTGTGTTGACCAGCAGGGCCTCCGGGTTAATGCTGTTTGTTATGAGAAAAATTAAATTACTGGCACATGAGTGTGTTGATTGATTTTTTTTAAAATTTCATTCTGTTTGTTGTTGCTGTCTAAATAAATTTAGCAGTTGATTGAATATAATTGTTACATGTTGATCATCATTTATACAACACATACAGGGCTGCATATAACTGGTACGCAAGTACGCATTCACCTTTAAAAGCGATACGTGCGGCAATCGATTGCTGTGACAGTGTAAATGCGTACGTATTTTATGTGCATTTGCGCTGATATGACAAGAAAATACCGTGCATTTCAACCTATATACCGCAAATGAAGTACGAATTAGCATATACAGGTTAAAATGCACA